ATCCTTTAATTCGTCGAGGATAAGGCCTCACCCATCCCACACACATGCAACGTAACATGTATACATATACATACGCAGACGATTTTGCGGCGCGCTTTTGTACATGCAGTTGCTTTCTTTTTTTTTCTCTCTTTTTTCTTGACATAAGAGGTTCGCGCTCGCTCGCGTACGCACAACAAGTAGACAGCAGGCGTCGAATGTTTAATTCAAGAAATGCGAGAGAGGACCAGTATGTTAGAATGAGAGAGAAGAGTCGTTCGTGCGTGCGTGCGTGAGCCCGGGCAGGAGATGGGGAGAGAGAGAGAGAGAGAGAGAGAGAGAGAGTATAGGGTAGCAATTGATGGGACAGGGTGGCGCGTTTGTTGGGCTAATTACTGTAAGGCGAGGCGCTTACTCGCGCGGCTACATACAAACGGCATTAAAGGTGGCGGTCATCAATCCCTGGTAGGCCCCTTCGTCTGCTCCGTTTCGCCTCGGAAGGGACACTTCTCCTTATGTCCCTCGCTTCCTCTTGAGATAAAACCGAGAATACATGAATACATATTCACGAGTCTCAATTCGATCCATTCACTGCAGTAAAAATCCGGTAAATAACTACCTCTCAATTCGTAATTATAGGATTTTATTAAAAATTGTGATAGTATGTGTGATTCTTGTAAAAAATTACAGTATTTTATACGAGCGTAAAAATCAGCATAGTCAGCATATAGCAATAAAAATATAGTCATATTTTTGAATGCGCAAACGTATTATTTTATACATAGTCGTTGTGTGTGTGATTCAATTATCATTGTAATCATTACAACTAACGAATAATAAATTCGTATTTTCTCAAAACTAAAATACGAGACAAAATTGTTTTTTATGCTCTATATATTATATATATTTATCAAATCTCTTTGAAATTGGAGCAAGACAAACGCGCGTAAATTTGCTCGTATATTGCGATTGCGGATATTATTAGAAATAATTTATTACATATCTGCTTCATATTTGACAAGAACAAGCGCCAAATGATAATTTCTGAGATCCAACTCAAAAGAACTCGATTATCCGCGAGCGATTATCCCGTTGATATACTCCGGGAGGAGTTCGAAACTGATGCGTATATCATCGAGTCCGGTCCTACACGGCGATAAGTGCTCGCGAGAGTGTCCCGTCATTATAATGTCTCAGTTTCGAATCGGTGCAATGGTGCATCGTGACATAAATAATAGCGGCTGATAATTAAAACGGCAATTCGGCGCGAGACGCAGATCCGACACCCGCTGTCTCCTCACGACATGACATTGGGCTCACGCGTGTAGACACGCGAGGCCACGTCCACACCACGCGGGAGGGCAAGATATACCGTCCTACACGCGTGACCACGATGGAATTTCAACGATTCTTGCAAGAGCGAGGAGGGCTATGTGTATCGGCAAGGGTCTTCGCTTTGTGTCCGCTTTCTTGTGGGCAAGAAAACGATAGGGGGAGAAAGGAGGAGAAGATCGGAGGAAATAAAAAGGATGCACATACACAGAAAAATCGCGCCATGTGCGAGAGTTCTGTCACCGCGATAGAGAAAGTATTGCGCGCGGATTCATCTGGATAAACCACGGTCGTGATCAATCACCCGGTAATTAACTGCGCTACCTACGGAATCGAACTCGTCCATAATTTATGGCAGTTTTTCTAGATAAGATATATAAATAAGGGACAAGATGGTACACAGGTGTTCGTGTAGAAAATACGCTCGTTATTAAAATAACGTGCTCGCTACATCTACTATACGAAAGCGACTTTTTTTTACAAGCATATGTATATCTCAAATGGTTGACTATGATACGAGATTATGATGAAAGTGAGTTATTTAACTTATTCGTATAATATTAATATTATATAAGACAGATTCGTTTCTTAAATCGACTATATTCTTTCTAAAATAGAAACAGGTATTTTTTATTATCCTTTAACTTGTGAACATTCTTGCTGCATGTTTATTTTCTTTTTACACACATAGTCATTATTATTAAATAACTAAAACGTACTGAATAGTATATAACGTTGTTTGTAAATATTGCATCTTATGATTAGGTAAACGAGGGGACGTTAATATTTTTATAGTGGAGTATCTCTCAATTATCATGTAACGTTATGAATATAATGTCCAAAGTTTAATACAAATTGCTAACAATAAGTCTTAACTATTCAAATCGCGAGAGCAAAGTAGACAATATAGTTAGGTAAAAAAATATTAATTATATCTGAATATAAACGTTATCTTGTATATAATGTCAACGATTTTCGAATTAAAATTAATAAGATCTAAATGCAGGATTAATAAGAATAAACAAGGACGTATAATATAGAGCGAATAAACGTGTCCATTATTTTCGATTTTACATCGCGGCATAAAACTTTCGATTTCCAGAAAATCACAATTCTCACTTAAACTCTGTACTATTTATATAATTTTTTATCTAATATTTATTTATTAAATACACACACATTATTGATTTTAAAATAAAGTATACAGTAACGCCTAAATTTTCGCTTTCTTAAAAAATTAGATACTGAAAGATATATAAAAAAAAAAAAAAGATTTATTTTCGCGATCAAAAGGATAGAGTTAATTATTCGAGCGAGTGCTCAAATGAACACCATTATAAATGTGTAACTTCTATATGTGGCTATTGTTATAATTTTTCAAGCGTAATTGAGGAATAAAGTCCACGAAATTTCGCGAACGCGCCACGACGCTAGCGAGGATCGTAAAGAAGATGAGCATGTCTTGGCGTAACCTGAGGCTACAAAGGGGCCGCAGAAACGCGACGAGGACACGTCGGGAAATGAAAACGAGGGGCATCCTAGTGTCGGCGACGTTCCACCAACCCCACAGAGAGCCCCGGCACGTTATATCTTCATTAACAGTATACCTAACCGCTCTGTCGCGACTTCTTAGCACTTCGTATCTCGCGCTAATTCCACGTTACTTCGTCTTTCTACATATTGGCTTATCAGTTTTCCAAGTTGCAGTTGGAAAACGTTCAAAGAATTCCGCAAATCGTTGATCTTTTCCATATCAATTGCAACAACGAGACAGAATTTTTTTAAGAGATATCTCTTTTTTTATTTAATAACTCTTTTCTTAATTTATATTACATTAATTCTGCAGAACATATAAATATTTTAGTTTATCATGGTATATTAGCGATATTCTTAACAATTTATTAAAGATTGTACATACGTGTATATTCCTTTAAAACTTTAATATATTGTTATACTTTATTATACAGCTATACATAATATGATAAAAAGGATAATTTAATTGATAATCTATTAGCGAAGGTTTAGTCAACTATACTTTTTTTCAATTTTCATGTTGAGACTTGAAAGAAAACTTTCCATATGTTATAAAACAAAATCTCCTATATGATCGAGCCAAGCGTCACTCAGTCTTCAGCTTTTATTAAACCGGACAGCCTTAACAACAACCTTTCCTGGTAGGAATCGGCAGCGCGCGAGAGAAGCCTCCTTAGCATTAAACCGCGACCCTTTATCCGACGAGTAACGTCCGCGGGACTCAGGGCCGTGTCGACACCGAGGCATAGGGTCCCCCCGATTACAGAGGAAATTCCAGGTCCCCGAATCACCGTAAGATCGGGATACATCGTTATAGGTCCGCGCGCTCCTTCGGGCCTCGCTCCCGGGCGGTATCGGGGCGGACGGGGAGCCGGTCCAGAAGGAGGACGCGGTCGTAAATATTCGGGCGCCAAATAATGCCGGTTCCGAGCGAGAGCAAGCGACCACGACTGCCGCCCGACCCGTAATGAAGGACATCCTCGTTAATTAGTCAATAAATTATCCTTCACGCTCACGACGCCCGTGGTTGGCCTTTTCGTTCGCTCGCCTTCGCGCCCGTTCTCTCGTCCAAGAGCGCACGAGAGGGCCGCATACTTTACGACACCTATCTGGCGCGACAGCACGATGCATTTCTCACAATCAGCAGCCCCGAAGACGGAAAGCGCGTCTTGTACGACGATCTACGAGGTGGTCCATCGCGTCGTTCGAATCTTTGTCGAGTCGCGTAGTCATTTCTCGAAAAAACTTCCTATTGTCTCACTGATGTAGCCTCTTTCATAACAAGGTAATCAATCGCGATAAAAATAATTTCTTGACGTGAAAAATCCGCGCGAATCTATTTTGACAAAAGCCAGATCAAAGTAGCTAGACGATAATAATGTCATAAGGAAACCTCAGCTTAATTGTGAAAATTTTATGCAGAGCATAAACAGCGCGAGCGGTTAAAATTTTATTACCTTTTATAATACCGACATAACTAAAGTAACCACATTTCTATCCAGATTCATGTGGTATATATAAAGGACATCGGTAAGAAATATCCACGAATGGGATGTAATTATCTTTGAATTCCTATGTGCCAACTGTTGTAAGTGCGCGTTTATTCCCCCGTCCGCCCTCTCTTCCCCCTCCCCCTCTACCCCAAGTAAAAGCACGCACGTGCTGTATCACGCAGGTGGACAACGGCGATCTCCTCGTAATGTCTCGCGTCGCACCGTCCATCGAGCATAAAGATTTGATTCTATACGTGTCCAAGTTATATACCGTGCCACGTGATCGTACATCATTTTAACTACTTCCTGGCTCGGTACAATTCTACCGGGTCGCGCGGCAGCGAAGGATGATGCTCGTCTTTTGAGAAATCGGCATAAAGAACTGATGCAAACGTACTGTACATGATGTAGCAATATGAGTTAAAAAAAAAAAAATAAAATATTGACAAATCTCAAATTATGTCAAATTAATCTTTATATATACTATATACAATGATGAAATCTTGTACAATAATCAAAGTCAAAAAATTTTTATAAAATAATAATGCGCGATTTTCTTTTTGTTGTATATGTATAATAAAACACATTTTGTCATATTGTTAAGAAAATTCTTGAATAAGAAAGATATTTATAACAGCAAGCAATATTAAGATCGTTTAAATATATTTAATATATTCTTATATCTTTTATTCTCGAAAGAGATAAGACCAATTTAATCACAAATTATGTAAATTAAGTAATTGGTACTTTTCTGGTATTCTTCCTTGATTAATCGGATGTAGAAGCGTTGGTGCTGGAATTGGCGGAAAAAATCCCGAGGACGTAGGTATTCGCATCATTAGGTGTGGGAAAGTCCTTTGCGTGAGCTTCCAACAAGTGAGCACGAAGCTCCTTGGAAAAATTCGTGCAGAATGGCTTCGACGTCTTCCCCTTGCAAAAATCACATGCATAAATTGTCTTACCTGGATGTAAATTCGTTGATAGTATGTGCTTCCGGAGATTTTCCTGCGGACATAAATATCATCCATGATATATAAACGGAAACAATTAATAACTACTAGAATTTATAATAGCGGCTGCTGTAATAATTGATAAAAATTTTATCATATTTAATGACTACACAATTAATCTAACCAGTAAGTGATTGATATTGATTTTATAATAGCATTTATATATATATTAGACGAATCAAGCATATATATTTTATGATTGTTCATTCGATTATTTTACATAGCTTTTATATTCCTATTAAAATCTCTAAAACTATATTATATTAAGGGGAGTTGCTATTAAAATGTCATTTAAACTAAAAACTTATATATAAAGAAATCTTTCAACAATTTGACATAAAAACAAAGTTGCCGCGCCATGTCTTGCGTCGAATTAAATTTCGAATTGAATCGGCCTTCCGTGGATACCCAATAGTGACTGAAGAGTCTGTTCGCCGTAGAACCGGACGCTCGCGTTTATTGGATACGCCGTTGGCGCATTTGAAAGTACTTTATTCCCTCAGTCTAAGTAGCCAGTCATAGTCGTAAATATCTTTCTACCAGACGAGCTTATACGAGCCGCTGATGGCAACAGCAACATCAAATTTAATTTCCCATAAGTAAATCTTTTCGCGAGCAACGCACTGTGACGTGTGCAAATTAAGCCTCGTTCACACCGCTATGGGTGGTCCCGCGGATCTTGCGACACATAGAGTGTGTACGTTGTCAAAAATCTAGCATGAATATTTTATTAGGCCGACCGATTTGGATTTCCACGAATTAAACTCTTCTTCTCATCAATAAACTGTATTGTTTGAGCTGGAGAAACGCATAAATCGTTTTTATGATATGATGAAAACTAAAATTTATTATATTATGTTCAAAAGATATATGCAAAATAAATAATTTTCATACATCACACACACACACACACGCAAAATATCTATACTCAAAAATTAATTGCAAAAAAATTTTTTTAAATAATTTAGTATTTTTAAACTTTTTGTACGGCTTCTATTAAATCCGCTTTAATAATAGTCACACTGCACTTTATCTCTTTCAAATTATTATCAATATCGATTCTCTTTTATGAGAGAGATATACATATATAGAAACGCAACAGTCTACAATTATAACATTAAACGTCCCAATGGATGTATTGTACAAAAATATCGAGAAATCGGCAGCATCCTTAGCTTCGCGAATGAGTCGTAAATTTATGGAGATCAATGCTTGAAAGACCACACAATACGTCCGATTTTTTCCCTTTCATTTTTCGCTATAAAGTTGTATAAATAAATATCATTTACCCGATTATTTCATCTGATAACAAAATAGTCACCCTAACTCGAGTCGCGAGATTTTTCAATTATGAAAGTAGTATTCGGCAAAGGACACCAAAAAGTAAAATTTTTATTCTTTAATTATATCGAGAGACGTCCAAGAATATAAGATTCTTCTTCGTTATATTAGACCGAAAACGAGAAACATCTGATAGATGCATTCACGAACACGATTGAGAATCACTGGAATGAGTTTATGTCGCTATCAAAGAGAGACACGAAGACCTCGTATGCGAGTCGCATCCCAACTGAAGCTTCAAAGAACATTAGCATACCGGCCGCTCGATATGAGTAGTCTGTGCGTGTGTGGGCATCCAGTGAGCACAATTAACTCGTTATCTTATCGCACCTCGGCGGCAGCAGCGGCGGCGGCGCGGTCCAAACGTTAAGGTGTACTTTGCTTAATTTATGGGGAGTCACTGGCAGGACAAAAATTGGCCTACGTAGGGGATACAAGAAGAAGTCAACCTCAAAGTAAATTTAAGTTTCGATTGACGCCCGTAAACACCACGTTCACGGAAACGCGTATTGTACATGCGTGGATCAATTGCGGGCGAGAAATTTTTCAAAATTCTATCATGCATTGTTGCTACAACTGTAGCACATTTTACATTTTTTAATAAACAGTGAATTTTTTGTTTCGTCAGGCGAAATCAGATTGAAAAAATTGGATTTCTCTTATTGATTACAAAGATTGCGAATGATCGCAAAAAAATTGTGTTTTTCTGCACCAAAGAGTGTAGCGTCTTGTATTTCCTTATATATTACACAATATATAAGTAATATATAGGTATCCAAAACATATAGAAAATTTTTATATTTCACTATTTGTTAAAAAAATATAAAGTCACTCATCGCAACAATGTGCAATGTGCATAAAATTTTGAAAAATTTCTTTCCTCATGTTTGAGGAAATGTATATATGTGTATTATATATGTGACACTTACCAAGGTGTTACTCGCATAAGAACAATGCCGACATTTGTATGGTTTGGATCCTGTATGCAACCGCATGTGTCTCCGCAAGTGAGAACTGATTTTCGTCTTAAAATTGCAACTGTCGTAAGTGCAGGAGTGAGTTTGGATATTCTCAGCGTTTGTAGAATCATCGTGCCTCGTTCTATGCCTGGAATTAATATAATCACTTTAAATTAAAATAATAATCAATGATAATCGGCAATCGTAAAATCTTCTTGCAAATTCGCACAATTTTATGGAAGCGATCGTTACACGTTCTTTCCGTTAATTAGACCCTTTCGGTGTTGAATCCACTGACGCAGGCAATTAAAGCATAATGATAAGGATTTACGTATCCGATATGCACGATTATTACCATTAAATGAAAATTCCCATTGGAATTGAGCGGATGCGAAATTTATTGGAGCCAATCGAAGCATTTTATGAAAGTCTGATTAACGCCCAAGCGCTAATACCGGTCAACGTAGCTATTAGCGCCAGATAAACTTTCTATACCGAGGTGAAGTCGATATACCGAGTATCTAATCTTGAAAATATATCTGTTGGAGCATCATAGCGGTGTCACGCATGAAGTAATCGTTGCCACGATAGTCTCGGCAGAGAGAACTAACAATAAGAATGAGTTTGTCATCAAAAGGAAAACTATGAGTAAAAGGATAGAGAAACGATATCTTCTGGAATATCTCCAGTAGCAGGAGCATGTCTACTGATTTATAAAAACAGATCGGTCAACTTTATCTCAAGATCTATAACTGTAATTATATAATGACTATTAAATCCGCATGATTAATTAAGTCATCAAAATGATTTTAGTCTATTTATAATATAATGATAACTATTTTTTTTTAACTAAAATTAAAAGAATAGAGCAATATAATAAAACAAGAATTTAATAATGTAATAAAACAAGCTAATATGCGTTATATAAAGTTTACTATCGATTAACACTTTAATTGCCGTTGCCTATCTATGTTGATGTCGCATTCGGAAGACATGAATAAATTAAATCTGTAAATCTAGAGTGCAAATTTTATTTTCATGCAAACAAAGTATTTCCGTTCAAAGCTAATAATTCTCTGATCGAAGTTTGCCGTAGCAATCGCTGAACGACTTTGACTATCCAAGCTCGCGTAATAATGATAATAAAGAAAATGTGACCTATTAAGACGATCATCGCGCGATCCGCGAAAACCCATACTGACCTATTTGTGAAACCTATTACCTTATATGGGTCTCGTATGATCATTTTCTGGTACCGCGCATTTCAAGTAAAACTTTCCAATTCAATCGTAAAAACTTTCATAGTCGCCGTTAAGCAAATCTTTCGCCTTCAAAATAATTTGATTTACAATTCTACATAACTTTATAACTGTTTGCACGTTAAAAGATCCTTAAAAAAGTTTATAGATGATGCATAAATTATTTCAATTCACTTACAATACAATGGATTGTGAAATTTTTAGTTAAAACAAGGTGATTTACTAATTTTCTAAAAATAAGAAATAATGAATTAATTTATTTATAAAATTTTGACAAAATAATTTATGAACTTTTGTCATCCTCTCTCGCTCTAGATTTTGAAGTATCTTTACATAGGCGAGGGAACACTTAAAGTACGTATACACTTTTTCGACATGAAAGACGCGTGTGATCGCATTAGAATTAGAGATGTGTCCTCCTCTAACATAGGCGTTCTCTCGTCTTGCGTATTTCGCGAAGTTCATTGTCGCGGCCCGGTGATTATGAACGATGCGATATGCGTGCGCGATATTATGGGGCAGCCGTTGGTCGAGCTATGTGTATATCAGCTTCGAGATGCGTGACACGTTTAATTAAAATCCTGCGTGATTTACTCTCGTGGCAGGGAGGAAAAGACTGAGAAAGGGCGAGAGAAAGAGAAAGAAAGAAAGGGAGGGCGATGAATGGACATATGCGGAAGAGAAGCGTCGGTGGAAGAGAGCAAAAGAGAAAGACAGAGAGAGAGAGAAAGTCCAAGCGATATATGTATACTCTGCGGTTGCGTTGAGTTCGACTCACGTAGTAAGTACTCAATTCGCGATGAAATATCGCGGCGACCATCGCCATGCGCGGACGATCATAACGGGTTGCCCGCACTTAGCCGGTTGCTGCACGCAACTTCCGCTTTCGTGGTTCTTCATCTCCATCTTTCTCTCACCATAACGACGGCGCCATTCCTCTCGTTTGTTCTCGCCTCTCTCTCTTCCTCTCCCACTCATGTGACATTCATATTTTTTCTCTATACTTTGAAATCCATCGTGGAAAAAAAAGCGTAGCGTCAAAGGAGACAAAATTTATTAGAGACGTTTTGCACGCTACAATAGTCTTAATAAGGATTAGCTGAAATTAAATCTCTAAATTTTGCGCGATTATCTTGCTAAGATATAATCGGTTGCGCTGTTGTTGCTTGAACATTGATCGAAAAAGATATTACGGATTGACCAAGGCAAAACTTTGACTACATGCATTTTGATTAATGCCATAATAAATCCATTATACCATATTTAACTCTTAATCAGCAAATAAATTCAATTTATAGAAATCTCTCATTTTCTATACACATAATATAGAATGTAAATTATGTTATTAACATTTTGTATTTTGAAAAAAAAGATAACGAGACAAAATAATAATAGAAATATGAATTAATCATATATTTTATTTATTGATGGTCAAGAGCTGTCATCTAATGAACTTACAACCTAACAAAATTAACGACAAAAGCGTAAAGACGCTAAGATTATAAAACATTTATATACGTCTTTCAATATTCCATTGTTTGTCTACATTTTACTTTTTTACAAATTTCTACATATATATTTGCATATATAGGATGACAAAGATGTAAGTAAAATGAAAATATCTCATGTCTGAATGAATCATTGAAGCGTGAATTAATTCAAATACACAGAGCGTCGCGTGAGCGTCCAATTGTGAATCTTAAAATAACTGGAGAGAATAAATCTAGGAGATAAAAGACGGTACGAAAATTACCAAGTATCGAGTAGGCCATTCGCTGCGCGCACAGAAATGTATAATCGGATTTTCGATAAATTACTCTTCAAATTATATCCTCCCCGTTGTCTCTATCAATAATCCACGAAGATTGATTCTTTCACTGTCCGCGTCCTCATAATTACGTATGCGTAACGGCGCGCGACGCGAGTACTTGCGTCCTCGCAATTAATTTTCCGCTTCTTCGAAGACATCGATCATACATACGCGAGCCGTGAGCCGTGCGATTAATGGCACAGGAATGCGTCCCCCGGCGAGGACCTCGATTAAAATTAATGTCAATAATATCGGCAGTCCGAGAAGTCAGCCCTTACGAGATGGAGCCGTGGATCGTACGCGAACTGAATTGTTAAAAGGATACCTCTCACATCGACACGCATGTCACCTTAACTCGACATCCGTTTCAGTGATAGTTAAAGGATTCAAGTATCGAGCGTTCGTATAATATAGCAGATGTAATAATCGTTGCTCTTTTGATAACGTTGCATTCACGAATCCATCTCCGCTCTCCTTTCAACGAAGGGCGATGAGATTGTTTACGCGTACACACATTGGAAATTTCTCTCATGAAATTAATAGATTACAATTTATATAAAATATAAAATTTCGTAATTTTCAGATTTGAGATAACTTGTTCCATAAAAAATGTACAGCTTTATTTTTAAGATTGCCTAAATTTGTACTTTTTTTATATACATTCAAAATGTATTTTGAAATTCGTGACAGATAGAAAGAGAGAGAAAGAGAGAGAGAAAGAGAGAGCAATAATCAATCTAACATAATTTATTAAACTGTAATAATCAAAAAATTATAATATAGCACTCTGCTTACCTGCGCAACTGCGTCTTTGTTTTCGCAGAATAAGAGCAATTAGGACATGGATATTGTTTCTCGATGTTGTCATGGACCAATCTTCGATGGCTTTTCAATTCAGATGCAGTACGAAGAATCGTGGGACATCCCGGAAGTCCACACTTGTACTTTTTACCAGCGTGTCTCAGTATGTGCTGTCGAAGAGCATGCCTAAATAAAAAGAAACATGCATTACTAAAAGATATTTCATTTTCTAAATTACATAGCTTTAAAATACACATAGGTGATATTACCAAATACAGACTTCACTAACCGCTAAAAACTTTTACATCTTTGTTTTATTCCAAAAACGGACAAAACTTTCCGGTAGACCTAATACATATATATACGATTATCAACAAAATAAACATAGTCCCTAAAACTAAATGTCCCTGTAGGTAGAGAATCAGATGCATTTAAAAAAATTTTGTCCAAACAAGATAAAACATTGCCTCAAAATCTCAGTATTGTACATTTCATCTGGTCTGTTTTTTACTACATCTTTTCTTATATAAAAAGATATATATATTTTAGAACATAACAATAGTTTTGCTAATGAATCTTGCGACGCATCTTGAAAATGCGTCGGCGGTTTCGAACGATTTTTGAAATACCCATGACGGCTATCGGGCAACACGGCGTGTTGCGAATAATGATTCCGCGGTGGCGAGAGAGCCCTTTGGCGCTTTCGTTAAATTCAACCTGTAATAAGACAGCACAATGGTCTCGCGTATGCTTGGTACGCGTGTGACCATCGGCCCGTTTACACGCCGTACGATCCGATCGCAGCTGTTGCATCTTATATCAACTTGCCGCTGGTGGAGAGTGCAACATAGGCACCGCACTTTAAATAGTTTCTGTCAGGGGGGTGACGATCTATACGGTTAGTGAACTTGCCATGTTGCGTTAAGTGAGTCAACAAGGGAACGGTGAATAGAGAGGCGCAGAGGTGAGAGCCGGATAAAGATAAGAGTCAGAGACGTGTGATCTTACTTCGTCATATCGGATTTCGGGCTTCCCCGGCAAAGATGTCGCGATTGGCTAATCCGGGAATGTATCGTGGCTTCTGTTCGTCCGTGACGCGTTTCACCGTGTTTCGCCTCTACCTTTTTTTTCACAAATGTTATGGTAGGAAATAACCGAAAAATTCAAAAAGTTGCATAAAAGGCATCTAAAGGGTACGGAAAGTATCTTTCAGGCATTTGAGTTGTTGACGAATTAAATCTGTGGAAACCCATGTCTGAAAATGTTTATAATGTAGATGCTTTTTTAATGTTATATAAAAATGACATTTGCAAATTCAAGCCATTTTTTATAACGTATAAATAAAATATTTTTTTGACAACTAATTTTCCATTTTATCGTTGTAATTTTAAATATACTTTACAACAAAGAGCAATATAAAAACGTTAAATGTTTATATAGATAAACAAATTTGCGGTAAAAGTGTGAGTGTATAAAATCTCACATTTTTCGTTGCCCAATGAAGATTCCTTAAAATACGCTCTGCGGAAATGTTAAACCCTGCTCAACGCTAAGCTGTTTGGTATCATAATGTTTGAGAGTTTATGTCCGATGGATTAACCGTTTTTTCGGCTCCTTTGATTATACGGGTATTTCGATTGTATCTTTTATTTTTTTTATATATGAACTCAGCATATCTCTGACCCCATGTATTTTATTGTGTGTATGTGCTGACTGTATTTATAATATTGCGATTGGCAGAAACTAAAATCTTGAAAAAATTAGAAATTATAAATATTAAAAATTGTAACAATTCATTTTAAATTGGAATATAAAATATATCCGTATAACAACGATAATATTTCTTATGAATATAAATAAAAATTTAATGTAAAATAATAAATAGAAAGTCGATAACTTTTCTTGTACACATCGGGTACATTTTTAATGAGAGATATAAGTTACTGAGAGTTACTGATATAAGAACTGAGAGTTTAATTATAATTTCAAATCATTAATTAGTAGATATATCCGATCGTAGCAAGAACTTGAAGCGAGAATGTTCATACGCATTTTATTTCGTGCGACGATCGCGAGACTCACGAGGAAGAAGCATAATTTATTTAGGCGTGAAAACGATTGTTTCTCTTGTATGTTCACGGCACGTTTCTTACATCACGGAAATGATAAAATCCTCGTTATAATAAAATCAAAGAAATTACTCGTGGACTGTTCCTTTGAAAGAAATTAATGACAAGCGTGATTGTATCAAAGTTGCTATGTGGTGGCCGCGGTTCAAGATTCGCTTCATGAACATCGTAATTGCGCTGAATTATGATAGTTGAAGTATCCGAAGACAAGACTTCTCCGGCGGATTGAAGTCGGCGATAAAAGTGACACTAACGCGATATACATGTAAAGTCGTATTTTCTCACATCGCGTTGTGACGTCTGGAGATATATTTCTCTCATAATAACGCACTCTCGCAAAGAAGAACGCAAAGTACATGGAATCTTACTTGGCATACTTGGAAGATAGCGCCGAGAGAACGTCAATTTCTATATATTATCAATTCCTCGAATAAGATCAACTTATAATTACCTGGCGATGTAAAAGGTAATTAACCTACCGATATAAAAGAATACTCTCTGAAACTTAATTGATGAAAATGTCATTGATTAAAGCAATGACATAAGATTTCACCAAAGATCGCGCGTACACAGTGAGTATTTCAAATATACATATACCTATATTATAACGGGCCTTCAATAAACTGAGTTATAATCGCGAGTGTATCGAGTTAGTTTTTATCGCGGTATATCATCGAGTTTCTCGTGGAAGTCGAGCGCTGCTCGCTCGAGCATGCCTTTTCAGGAATTAGAGATAACGCGAGAAGGATGCGAGAAGGATGCGAGAAGAATGAAGAGATAATCCTGGACGCGAATAAGACGCGAGATATTGCCCGAATCGACCAATCCCATAAAAGCCGATCTTTCTATTCGATCATGAGAATCGAGCGACTAAGATTATTGGCCATGGTCCACGTGGATTATTTAGGTCAAGATCTGACCTAAATAATACGCGCGGATCCGTAGCGGATGTCATCGATAAATCGTGAGATGTGTCAGGCGAATCACAATAAATCTTTCAAGCGACGATCTTTCTACGAAGAAAGAAATTTTTTTGAGCTATGAGAATAAAATGATGATAATTCGCTCGAGCCACTCCGCGTGGATTAAATATTTAATGCACATTAATACATAAATTAAGAATATATATATATATATATATGCTTACTTATTAATAGGTAAAATATTTTTCTGCAAGTATTTGAAAAGAAGTATACTTGCAATTTTCTATAGGCGCACTTTAGTATAAAATCTCGTGTTAAAAATTCATACAATGACATTATGATAGATTTATTATTAATCGCGACGATGTATTATTACTATTTATAAATTTATAAATATACAGGAAAAAGTTTTTTAACTAAATTTAAAGTCAATGGCCCAAAAATTAACTAAATTTACGTTAAAAATTACTTAAAAATTAATTCAGTTAAAGTTACGTTAAAAAATTATTAACTCATTAAAGTTAAGAGTTAATTCTCTATCCAATAGCAAATCGACACATCCGACAAACTTGTACGGCAAATAAAATATTCGCATTACAATTAACCATTTTCACACAATTTTAATATTGATGAATTATTTTAACTTGTATAAAAAAAGTTAATAAATTAATGTTAATGCATTTAAAAACAACTAGTTTAAGTTAAAAGATAACACGTTCAAAATTAACTAAGTTAAGTTAAAAGTTATTAACTTTTCAACTTTTTAACTTAACTTTTAACCGTTTAACTAATTATTACCCAACCCTGCAAATATAATATTGTACAAAAGTCTCGTGCAGCCAAAATATATGATAATAATTAATAATCTGCCGCAAGTGAGCGTAGAACGCGTCAATCCCGCGCGTGAGCTTACAAAGATCAACGGAAAAGTATACCGTGACCGCCATCCATATCGATCGCTCGGTACACCCGGCGTTTGAATTATGACATTGAGAAATCTCGCGCGCGAAGCTCAGGCAAGCGCATGAGACCCCGCTGGAATTCTGATAGAACAGTATTAATATCGGCGCCGGTCGGAAGCGGCGAGACACGTTGATGCGAGAGCGAGAGACTAGAAGTAAAGGGGGAGGAAAAGGAAAAAAAAAAAAAAAAGAGGAGAAGTAGCAGGAGACCAACGGAGGTCTCTCGGTTCGCGTTTTTCGGTGGAATGTCGCAGGCGTGACAAGAGGTCGTTAAGGGGAGCTTCAGTCGCCCGATTGGGCAAGCGGATGCGGTCACCGAGGATGATTTAGCGCGCGACGTCCGCCGTCATCTCGTGAAATACGTACCGAACGTCGCGGCGACGGCTCTTAGAGCCGACCGCTATTTAAAAGTCTAATTCGTGTCGCCGCGTGATCGCCGTTATATTCACGTCAATAAACGGCCGCGCGCAGTGACGCGACGAGAACGTTTCTTCGTTCGGAGGGAGAAACTCGTCTTGCGGGGGACAACCGCGATTTCCGGGCGGCCTCGCGGATCACCGTCTCCTCATGATCACGCAATCCCTTCGGAGGATCGAGCGCGTTGCGTTGCTGCCATTAAACGGTTTGACGACTTTATAACGTCTCGCGCCAATTTTTAACGCTTTTTATTCTATCCGGATCCCATTGCAGTAAAAGCCACGACAGGCGAGAAGCTAAGGTTTCACTTTATCTCACGCGCTCGTTGATTGGGCACTTGAGGTCGCGCGTAGAGAACCGATACAAATGTATACAGATTGTCTTTATATCGTTCTCAAATTCAGGCTAGTAGCTTTGATCGATTTATGGAATAAACGTATTAACCAATATTCGAATAAATAGAGATTATTTAATTTTCTTGATTAATGAAAACATTATTTTCAAACAATAAAATAAGATTCTAATAAAACATTTTCATTATACATATTTATTTTTTGCGTAACAAATAAAATTTAAATTTTTGAATGCAACAATTAAAATCACGTGGTCACTGTAATGTCACATAAACATCATTATCTATTAGATATATTGTATTATAACTTTTGCGGAATATTAGTCTCGTTAATTGACAATGTATTATTTTATTATTGATATATTTATCTTATCTATTAAAATCCAATTTTTCACATATGGAA